GCGCGCCGCTCAACGCCTCCGAGCCCGCGCCGGGCGGCGGGGAGGGCGCGCCCCCCCGGCCCTCGTGGCTGGCCTCCGCGCTAGCCTTCGTCCTCATCGTCACCATCGTGGTGGACGTCCTGGGCAACCTCTTGGTCATCCTGTCGGTGTACCGGAACAAGAAGCTGCGGAACGCAGGTGAGGGCCCGGGGCGGCAGCTGTCCCACCTGGGCACGGCTTGGGGAGGCTGCGCTGGCATCTGGCATCCGAGAGTTGGGTTCAGGGCCCTTAACACTGGGGACTGCGCTCCGTGCAGAGTGCGGGCTGCCTGGGACCTCTCCTTTGCCCATCGGAAGTGCCTTTTCCAAGGACAGGGAAGTGGGTGGGTGGGTGGGTGTGCAGGGTGCGGGGAGACCCCTCCTCCCTACTGCACAATTGCCCGTTTCTGAGGTTTTGTTAACCTGTACAGGTTGCAGGGTGACCCAAGAAGCCCTTTCAAATCTGATCCAGGAATTCAATCAATCCTTTCGTTTTACATATAATTTATTTTTTCCCAACTGTATCACAGCAAGAGGAGATGTATAACGCTGGCAACATGGTAAAGCAGCGGTTTTGGTTTTGTTGTGAAGTATAGTTTGCAGTTATTCTATACATGCGCGCCTGCATGTGCTGCTCATGTGATGATTACTCTGCTAAGTTATACAAGTGTACACCTTTAAAATCGAAATTGGTGTGTTGAAAAGTTTATTTTCATGTATTCACGCCGCTAAAGCTAATTTTCTCCCTTGAGTCAAACTTGCTTTTTCCTCCAGGCCATGTTTTGATTTTGGATGGGATCCTGCAGTCTGCTTACTCTTGGCATGAATGGTGTCCTTTCAGATCTTGTAATCACTCTGGGGGACAGGGTTCCCCAACATCTATTTCCGTTATTTTCAAATTTTGGGGAACCCTGCACTTGCATGTTTGGTCAAACCTGTGTCTTTGTTCTAAGCAGGTGGTTGATAGTACTCAAACTTTAACCGCGGGCAACTTCCCCTCTGTCTTCATTAGTTACCTAAGTATTAGTTAATTAGCACTTGAAAACACAAATTGAATTGGAATCATCTCACTTCATGGATGTTTGGCAAAACTAGGGGAATTCTGCATTTTCCTTTTTTTTTAATTAAATACTTTTATTGGGGGCTCTTACATCTCTTATAATTCTGCATTTTCAAGGGAAAGTTTTCCTTCTAACAATAAAAATAGCTTTCTATGGGACAGACGTGGTTTTGAGCAGTTCCTTGTGTTACCTGAGTGAACCCTCTGGCCACACCTGGAAACAAAGCCTTATTGCCCTCATTTGACAGAGGAAGAACTCAGGGCACAGCTTGGTCAAATGAACTGGACCCGGGGAACAGGCCTAGCTTCACAGGGCTTTGCTGCTGCGGCTCCCTCAGCTTAACAACTGAAGTTTGAACCCCACAGAACCTTTTGTTCAGCAACTGTTCCTATGCCTGGGAAATTTCTGCTTCCTGTGTTTTATGACACTAACTTATGGAAAGCCCTCTTTCCAGTTGTGCATCTGCTAAGTAACTTTTAAAAAAGGCAATCTAGAACATACATCATTCCTGTAACTGACTCAGAGACGCTTGGTCAGCCTTAACATGTGGGGCGTTTGAATGGTTGCTGTTTTACAATTGGTGCTTTTTGGCTCAGTTGCATTGGGTTGCATTTCAAACCGTGTGAGGCTTTCTAAAATGAATGATCACTTGAATCAGCGATAGCAATAGTGTATTCAAATATGAGATTTGGGGCACTTATTGGAAGTTCTTATTATTGTTCATGTTTTTGTTGGCATCGAGGATGGAAAAGAGAATGGAAGAAATAAGAACATGAAGCCATGGGTGCTTTGAAATGGGCTTTTCTTTGGAAAATCTCAAATAATTGCATGGTTGTGTCTCCTCATCTCTACCTCTCCAGGAATTATGTTGACATTTAATGTCTTTTTGTTTTATTTTTATTTTTTTTATTTTAAACATTTTATTAGGGGCTCATACAACTGTTATCACAATCCATACACACATCAATTGTGTAAAGCACATTTGTACATCATTCTCAAACCATTTTCTCGCCACTTAAACCCCCGGCATTAGGTCCTCATTTTTCCCCTCCCTCCCCGCTCTCCCCTCCCTCATGAGCCCTTGATAGTTTATAAATTGGTATTTTGTCAAATGTTTCACAACTGATATGGCAGGACAAAGTCGATCAGAGCAGGTCTATATTTCAAACAACCAGTAGGGTCTTTTTTGCGGCCAGAATTTCCACTCTGTTCATGTCCAAAGTTAGATGCTAGAATTGAATGTTCTATATTTGTACTTTCGGAGCAAACTTCATAGCAAAGTAGGAGATCTATGTCCTGAAACATTAGGATGCTATATTTGCCCTGTGCCTTCTGACTGAGAATGGACTTACTTGGCGTTTCAGTATCTAAGTTTGTCAGACAAACTTACACTCAGACAAATGGCACCATGACTTAATGAAATAATGCCTATGAAAGTACTTTGAAAGGATGAACTAGGTGATATCATATGTCATTTTTCTCCCCTGTGATATCCCTAACAAGGTGTATTGAGTTTGTGAATAATCATTGCACCATAGACTCAGGGATTTGTGTACCTGTCTCTCTGTGCATTACACTTACATGAAGCCTTCACCAGATCTAGACATATACAAAGTAAGATGACAGTGATACTTGTTTATTAAGGATCCAGTTATTTGGTGATCTAATCTACCTGGAAATGTACTCAGTAAATGGAGGTCAGCAAAAATGACAGACTTTAAACTATAGCTACTTTGTTCTAATTTAACCAGAGTTTTACAAATAGTAATGCTAGTTTCAAAGTCTAGAATATAAACTGCAAATAAGGAGGAAGATTCACAAAGTTAAAGAAATAACACATGTTGAAATAGGCCCATAAAATCTGAGCTCACTGCCATCGAGTTAAATCCAATTGACAGCAACCCTATAAAAAGCAGGTGTAAAAAATGGAATAAACACATTTTGAAGACAAGGTGTGAAGTAAATATCCCTGGCCACTCCTCATTTGTTGTTTGTGAGAACATCACAGTCCAATAATGTACTTATTGGTGAGGGCCCTGTAGCATCAAGGAGAGGTCTAATTATATGTACATTTGGATTCAGAATGTAGAGATATAAAACGTTTTAGAAAAATACATCTCTAAAACAACTTAATATGTATTTTTAATTGTAAAGGAAAAGTTCCCCCAAATAGTTCTATGAATTCTGGATGGTCAACGCTGCACTAGGCCACCCTTGTGCTGTGCTTCCTCAGCTCTCCTCTGATTAATACCCGTGTCCCATCGGCGTTGCATCAGGGAGCATCTGGAGTGCGTGGAGAGAGCATGAACTTTCACTGCTGGAGAGCGAGAGTTAAGCTGCAGACACACGAGTGCTGTGTACAGACGTTTATTGGCCATAGTCATGCCTACAAAAAAAGTGATTTCCAGTTGAAGCACTAGTTGCACTCAGTAAAGTGGAGAGTGGAGTCGCTTATCAATTTTGATATGTATGTCTATCAAGATGCATTAATAATCACTGGTGATTTGAATGTGAAAGTTGGAAACCAAAAGAAGGCTCAGTAGTTGGAAAGTATGGCGTTGGTTCTAGAAGCAACGCTGAAGATTGCATGACCACATTTTGCAAGACCGGCAATATCTTCATTGCAAACAGCTTTTTTTTTAACAGCATGAAGTGATTATACATATGGGCCTCCCTAGATGGAATGCGCAGGAATCAGATTGACTGCATCTGTAGGAAGAAATAATATCATCATCAATCATGATAGCTCAGTATCAACCAAAACAAGGCCAGGGGCTAACTGTGGAGTAAGTCATCAATTATTCATGTGCAAGTTCAAATTGAAGCTAAAGCAAATGGAAACAAGTTCACGAGAGCCAAAATGTATGGGCAAAATATTGAATGCTGCAGGAAATATCAAAAGAAGATGGAAAGAATACAGAGTTATTGTTACCCAGAAGAACTGGTCGACATTCAACCATGCCAAAAGGTAGCATGTGATTAACAACCAAAGGTAGTGGAGGAAGAAATCCAAGCTTCACTGAAGTCATTAGCAATAAACAGGGCTCCAAGAACTGAATAAATACCAGTTGAAATGTTTCAAAAACTGATGAACCACTAGAAACGATTACTAGACTATGCCAAGAAATTTTAAAGACAGCCACCTGACCAGCTGACTGGAAGAGATCCATATTTGTGGGCATTCCAAAGAAAGGTGACCCAGCAGAATGTGGGAGTTATCAGCCTTACTATCACAGGCCATGTAAATTTTGCTGGATACTTGAAAAACAATTGTAATAGTATATGAACAAGGAGAGGCCAGAGATTCAAGCTGGATTCCCAAGAGTGATTGGAACCAAGCATATCATCGTTGCCATCAGATGGATCTTGATACAAGAAGAGAATATTAAAAAGGTTGTTTACTTGTGGTTTGTTGACTATACAAAGCCATTTAGCTGCATATCTTAAACTATGGATAACATTTCAAGGACTAGGAATTCCAGAAACCTTAATGTGTTCATCTAAAACCTGCACATAGACCAAGAGGCAGTCTATTGGACAAAACAAGGGAATATTGCATGATCTAAAATCAAGAAAAGTGTGTTCAAGGCATGTATCCACTTACCATATTTATTCACTCTGTGTGCTCAGCAAACAATCCAGGAAGCTGGACTACATGAAGACCATGTCATCAGACTTCCAGGAAGGCTTATTAATGACCTATGATACAGAGGTAACATCACCTGGCTTGCTGAAAGCCAAAAGGACTTGAATCATTTACTGATGAAGACTAGACAGCGGACTTCAGTGTGGATTACCACTCAATGTAAAGCAACCAGAAAAATCTTACAAGGGGACCAGTGGACAGCATCATGATAAACGGGGAAAAGACTGAAGCTGTCAAGATTTTAGTCTGCTCACGGAAGCAGAAGTGAAGAAACCCAGTGGTCCAGTGCC